GATGAGTATGAAGCCTGAATGCTAAAGAGACTAATAATGCTATTTAGACTGTATTTATTTTTTCCCCCATTCTTCTTAGTTCTGGGAGCTATGGGCTTGAATCCCCTCAAGTTAAAGACAGCCTAAAATCTAGGTCTTGAATATCTTGGACTAGTGCTTTAGCCACTAGTGCTTTAACCACCAGACTGTTATACAAAATGTGTGGGCTGAGGCATGCCCACGCTAGCTTGTATTTTATGTTTGCTGAACATTGTTTCAAACTTGATATTGTCAGTGTGCTTTAGGCATGCTCAGAGCATGCCTGCTACCTCAGGCCTAGCCCCAAGAACTTAGGTAGGGTTTAGGTTGATTTATCTCTAGATCTCAACAGAACTTGCATGAAACTGAGGAACCTACCTGCTCAAACTGGGAGGTTCTATACACATATATGGGCACCTGTGTTTAGGCACTTCTAGATACTTGCAGGACAGACTGTAGGTGGTGCATGGATGTAGGCACATAAAGCTGGAACAGGGCAACCGGAGCTGTCTTTTGTGACTGATTGTAGTAACACCATATGATTAGCATGTATTAATTTTAATTGATGTTAAAATTAGCACATGCTTTGAACAGTTGCACATTAAGAATTAATACACCCTGTAACATGCGCTGCTCTGACCCACCATTATAGGGCTTGTGAGCAGGTTGCATGGTCATCTTTCCTGCTCTCAGGGGAAGGGAGGTGGCCCGTATTTCATAGGCATTAGGGCTGGAAGGAACCTTGTGAAATCTTCGGGTCCATCCCCCTATCCAAGGGGTGGGAAGCCAGCTGGGGTCAGATCACCCCAGCAAGATAAGCATCCAAGCCTTTCTTAAAGGTATCCAGAGTAGCTGCTTGCACCACTACTGGGGGGAGTCTATTCCAGACTCTGGAAACTGAGAAGTTAAAGAAGTTTTTCCTTATGTCCAATCTAAAATGGTCTTCCAGCAGTTTGTGACCATTAGACTTTGTCTTCCTGTAGGGTCCCAAGGGGCAGGCGAATGGGGCAGGGGAGGATCCTAAGGGGCAGAGAGGTTAAAGGAGGGAAGTCATGAGGGGTAGGGGAGGAGTCCCGGGGGCCAGGATGAGCCTGGAATGGGAGTGGGGATTCTTACGTTTAGGTGCTGTTACTGTGGGGGAAATTAGAGCGGCTGGGAGCGGTGCCTTCTGGGATACTGGAGGACTGCTCCTGACTGGCTTTGGGCCTGTAGAGCAGTCACACATGACTGCAACACAAGCTGCCTAAAACCAGTTAGAGATAATCCTTGATGGAAGAGGATTATCTCTGAGCCACTCAGAGGGCCCTTCACACATGTTTTCCTGCCCAAATATATGGACACATCTGCTTGAAGTACCCATAATGTGTATTAAGTTAATGTTCAGCAGCACCCTTAGGATTCTCACTTTTGTCTAAATCCTATTTAGACTCCTAGTTTTCCAATTTGGACCTAGCCCTTAATCTCTTTTTATCTCAGATTACTATTTATAAATAGGACATAATAATACCTAAATCACTTGTAGTATTGTCAGATTTAATCCATTTATGCATTTAAATCACATTTAGACCTAATGAATAAAAAGTAGTATATACGCTATTAGGTTTATTATTTTTCTGTCTAAAATTACTGTGTTAAGCAGAGAACCAGGTAGGAAGATGAGCTGATTTGTGTAGGAGAAAACTTCTATTCAAATACAAATTATTGAACTAAAGAGAGTGAACAGTATAAATTACTGGCAAAATAAGTGGCTTTAGTATAAATGTTCTCTTGAAAGTTACTGCTGAGTTGTTCTCATGCTAGGGTACACTTTTAACTATTAGAAGAGTTCTGAGATTTTATTCTTTCTTGGTGTTCCTCAAGCATCCCAGGACACATAAATCATAAGTGATTTGTAAGATAATTATAAAAATGCTTTGAAAGAATTTTTTTCAGTGGCTGTATACAAAGTACACTGCTGAAGCTTTACTCATGATGGGGTAAACCAGTCATGAATACAGAGTCCAAGTTTCTCCTCTGGGATCTGGTTATTTGGGAAGTTAAAACTCAGAGAGACTTTTGTCTTAACTTACAAAATGGTAGTGTTAGGAAAAATCTGAACTAATGTGTTCTCCACATGCTGATAAACTGTTAGCCCCCTAATCTATAAACTGGGTACATGTACACGTACCATTAAGGTGACCTGATAAACTGTGGAACACTTTGTCCTGGAGTCTGCTCCTCCCAGCGTAGCATCTACATGTGCACCCAGGAGCAAAGCAGTTTGAGTCAGGGTGGAGCAGCCCTGGGCTGAAAGGGAGTATGGAGGCCCAGCCCTGGGCTCTGGATGGCGGTGCTGGGCAATGGAGGGACTGGCTGGGGGCTGAGATTGCTAAAGTACATGGTTAGGCAGCAAGCAACCCCCACACTTTAGCAACTTCATGCCCCAGCCAGCCCCTGTTGCCATCTACATGTGCATTTTGCAGGAGCAAAGCACTTCGCCATAAGATAGTACTATCCCCTTTAACTCTGCAGTAAAGCACATGTGTAGGTGCACCATCTGTTAGGATCATACCAAGGTCTTAGTACACCATGTAGGATAACCACTCCACAGATGCTTAAATTCTGCAAAGCAAAAATTGGCTCCAGTACAAGGGAGAACACACTGGATTTAACAAACTTATCTCATATTTAATTGCATGTGTAGGTATTAGAATATATATACGGAAGTACACCTGAGTTATACATTCTTTGAATTGCCTTATGGAGTCACTGCACCATATTTAAGGCTGTTTGGGACTTTTAATTTTAAGCAAATGTTTAAGGATGTTAAAAACATCTCACTTGGCATGATAGTACAAAAAAATTTAAAAAAAATAATGTAACCTGGGCGACATAGCTATCTGTCAGCTGCAGCGAATTATGGGAATGCAGGGAAGTAGACAGAGCAGAAAGCCTGGACAGATAAGGAGACAAGATACACTGAGGAAAGGATGGGAGATCTCCCTCTTTTCTAGCCCCGCTTCCAGGATATCAAACCTAACTTCCCATTCCAAGCCTCAACCTCTGGCCCTCCAATAGGTTGCATTAATTTTACCTTAATTTTACATTAATATCTACATTGTTTTTAATTTATTTTTACTGAATTTAAAATCACCCATAATGAAACATTTCCAGTTTCTATCTTGGGAAGACTTTAACTTCTAACCTCAGTGTCAGAGACAGTAATAACACATTGTGCGTTTTTCCAGATACAGTGTATAAAGTTTAAAGTTAAAGTAGAATAATTTTGTGAAAGTTTAAGGAACTGTGTGTGTGTATATTGAAGTTTGTGTGTACAGTGGAAATTAAAGAGCAAGTTTAGAGGAGGGGCAAGGAGCTTGAGTGCATTTGGAATTTGTGATGTTTGGATACTAAGGTTTTGAGGTGCATGTTGATATTAATATTACAGTTGTTGTTGATTTCCTTTATTTTTAATAACTGTCTATGCATCCAGACAACAAACAGTTCTAGGGTCAGTTCAAGTAACAATACAGTTATTAAACATAAAAGGCTTTTCTTAGCAATCTTCATGCAGCACTCAATACAAACCAATGGCTAGAAAATGATATTTAGAGGTTTGCTTTTGGGAATTGGCTTGTAGATAAAGTAGATATTGCATTAGAACAATGGCCCAGGGGAATGGTAAGGGTTAATTTGTTTCTAAAAGCCTGTTTGTGCCAAAGTTTCACAGTCTCAGTCTTCAAGGCCCACTGTGTCTGGTGTGGGCATAAACAGGCTGGGAAACATGAACACTGTTCCATAATGTGAGATAAGGGACTCTGTTACATTGACTAAGTCACAGTGACCAGCTACAGAGCCTTTGGGATTTCTGGTTTTGGTGGACAGATAAAATAAAAACACCAGTAAATGACCAAATTAAGGTGTGTGCATGTGATGTCTTTGTTGAAACAGAGGAATATGTGACAGAACAGAATGTGGATAGTATGATGACCACAGGGAAACCAATCAATGCTGCCTGGAGATGAGAATCATCAGAGGAGAGAAAGGATACAAAAGGAGAGATTTCAGAGCAGCAAAGGGTTCCTGACAGGAGAACCCAAGGCCACCATGGACAGAGGGCACACCACCAGCCTATCTAACCCACCCCACTTGGGGTGGGGGAGGCCTTGGCCCTCAGCCTCCAGGCTGCTGACTGCTGACATTCAAGAAAGAACCACAGGGTGAAGCTTGCATACTGGCCATATGTACCTTCCCTCTGATGACAGCTCTAGGACTCTTTGATGTAGAATCGGGGTGGAGAGAGGGGGTTACTGTGTTTCCTTGACTGCATTAGTCTTATGTCCTATCACTATGTATCAAAATTCCTGGAGAATGCATGGTTGGTGACCACCCAGAAGATGGTATCTGGCTCAGAAATCCAGTGTCAGCATAAACCATTGGTAAAGTGTACTAGTGATGAACAAGAAATTATCCATCTCCATAACTGTAACAATAGCAAGCACAATGTCATGATGCTATATATATGCTGCATGCTTAATGCCTGTTGTCAAGGACTAACTAATGATTTCCTTTATAAGGGATCATTATTTTAATCCCTTTTGAAAATAAACATCACTAAATATGAGTCATTAAATGGCTACACTGCATTTGTTATTTACAATGTGCATGTTTAGGTGGCAGTAATTGATATTTGTTTAACTTAATTCCTTTGCCGCGTAACTGTTTTTATAGCTATGCTCTTTTCTTATGTTTTAACTACTTTTTTCTGCCATTTCTTCAATGTACTTAGGGTATCTTTTAACAGTTATGTCCTATCAATTTTATCATGTTAATTCTGATTGTTCTAGTCTGAAGCCAACAAGCTTGTTTTTGTCATTCTCTGTATTCCATGAACATATTGAGTTCCTGCATATATTGTTTGCATTTGTTATGCAACCACATGATTAGATTGTGAAACAGTGATAGCAATCTTGTACAGAATTTCCTTTTATTTTTTCTTACAGTATAAACAAGTGGAGCAGTACATGTCATTCCACAAATTACCTGCTGACATGCGCCAGAAGATCCATGATTACTATGAGCACCGTTACCAAGGCAAAATCTTTGATGAGGAAAATATTCTTAGTGAGCTCAATGATCCCCTTCGAGAGGTAAGACAAAACAAAAAGTCCCATGTGCTTTGGTTGGGTTTTCTTCCATTGGTTTCAGTACAAATACTAATTCTGTTTATAATCTCATTATAATCTCGCATACTTGTTGCCAAGATATCACATCATCTATAAACAGCAATCCATTAACAGTGTCAGATATCCTATGTTAGGTTGCTGCATAGACTGTGAAAGTAAAAATTAGCAAACTTGAAGTGGCCATTGATCTAATCCATTCTAGCCTAGATTGCCAGAGCCATTATTAGGCCATGGAAGGACATAAGGGTATAGGAGATATTGCTTTATACACCTAGTCAATGAAGTAAGGACTGAAAGTCTATTCATATTTCATCTACAAACATAATTGAGAGATAAATCTGATAAATCTCTCCACATGAATGCTAATTGAAAGAAGATGGAATTGAGTGGGTATGGGAGATGCCTTGGTGGCTAGAATAACTCCCTACTTGTGGGCTAGAATAACTGCTCAGGATAAGTGAACTCCTCCAAACAGAAGTGAAAGGGAGGAGTAAGTTGCTTCATCTCTCTTTGTGCAGCAGTTTCTGGAGCTAAGCAGGTCTCCTTTGGGACAAAAAAGCACAACCCACTATTATTGCAAAAAGGCATAGTTCTTTTTCAGAGCATCTACACAGGACATTTACTGTGAAGTATACTAGATAGCTGTGCAGTAAATGTCGCATGTATACATGTGTGCCCCGTTAGGCTGAAGTAAACTAATTTACTCCACAGCAGGATAGTAAAAAACTCCACAATAGTGCACATGTAGATGCTGCCTCTGCTGGCTGGGGCATGAGGGTGCTTCAGTGAGGGGGCAGCCTGCTTGCTAGCCCTGCACTGGAGCACCCTTGTGCCCTAGCCAGCCCTTACTTAACATGTTGAGTCTGCGGGGGAGCAGCCCTAGGCTGGCAAGCTGACTCCCCCAGGCCACCTGCCAGCCCGGGCTACATTGACTCAGCTCAACATGCTGCAATCCCAGGCACTTGTGTAAATGCATGCTTGGGAACAATAAACTCCAGTGCGATAATCACCAGAGTTTATTGCAGCACATTAATATGCATGTGTAGACATGCCCTGTTCAGAGAAAAAACACATACTCCCATTTTTGTTAGGGGGGGATGTAAATTTTGTATTGAATACAAATGATTGGGTGTTGAATGAGTAGACAAAAAGGTTCCAGAAGCAATAACTGCACCCTATATTTTACAGTAATAAGATTTGTGTATCTTTACTGAATAATAATGCCAGACCTATCAACATGTGCATGTGAGATTGAAACACTTTCTAGTACAGTGATTCTCAACCAGGATGCCATGACAGCTGTGGGTAACATGCAGTCTTTATAAGGGTGCTGTAAGGTGTCATGCAGGATTAACACTGTTAGGTGTGCAAGCACCTACACCTGATTCACAAGATAAACCCAGAGGTTTCAAATAGGATTCCATAGCATTAAAAACATTCTGATGGGTTGTGGTTGGAGTTCTTTGCAACTGAAGAATTGCTCTACAATTTTTCTGTGGTCAAGAAATAATTAAAGCTGAGAGCTAGCATTTTCTGAGGAGTGCCTTGAGTCTAAAAAGGTTGAGAATCACTGTGCTAGTGACTGCTCTCTACATGAGACAGTTTATAAGGATAGGGCTCAGAAGGAATTGGAGGAAAAAATGAAAAAGGGAAGGTTAAGAGAAAAAGAGAAGGAGAAAGTAGAATAGGAATAGGGGAAAGGAGAAAAGAAGAGAATGGAAGAAACATGGAAAGAGAACGAGAGTTATCTGTCATGTGGTGATCCCATCAACCTGTGGGACAACACTTTTAAAATTCCTTCCATGACAGGCAGTACGATGAATACAACATTTTATAACACACTGCAGGAAACAGCAGGACAGCTGTACAATTCAGAGTGATGTGTCAGGACGTGTGTTTAGTAACAGTTGCATAGTACTAGAAGGATTGGACTAGATGGGAGCTCCTTGGTTGAGGAGTCCATTCCCCTGCTATCTCAGGCAACCACATATAATCCTTTCATAAACTGATCAAGTTCCATCTTTAGAAATGTTTTGCCCCTGCTACGCCCTGCGGAAGTTTGCTTATTTTTTAAATGAGTCACATAGAACAGGAAAAAATCAATCTTTGGTGTGTTCTGTATGTCCCTACATCCACCTTCCTGCCACTGTAGCATTGTCACTTGCCACAGTTTTTAAAAAAAATATTTACAATCTGTTTAACAAAGGGATTCCTATTTCTATTTTTCCCCATAAAAGAAGATGAGTTATTCAGATCTAGCTCATCTTTAGGGAAATTCCTATGTTTTATGCACTTCCAGTGTTCATATAAAACTTCCAGTAACTTTCCTAGAAATTCCCGTCTTTTGCCACAGGGAGAATATATTATCCTGGTTTGCCAGTTGTAGTCACAGCAACTTGTAAGTAATGTATGGCGCATTCTGATATAAATAACTTCTGGGTCCTTGAAATTCAAGTGTCCTTCAAGTCAAACACTGTTTTCTGTATTCGTTATGAAATCTTCTCCAGCTTCCCAAAATCGCTCACAAGAGGCTGCAAGACATTTCTTCCACTGAAAGTCATAGAAATGTTAAGTACCAGCAAGATGCATGAATAGCATTGTTTTCACCCTGTAACATCGTTATTTAATTATATCAGAACATAAATTCTCACATTCTCATTAACATTCCCTGTTCACTAAAGCAATATGTAGTTGAATTCCTTAAGTCCTAAATGTTTTTTCCCCTAAGTGACTTATCTCCTTCTATTGTTTGGGATTATTTTGTAATTGCACGTGTCCAATGAAATGAAAACCAGATTTCATGTGGATTATTTTCATCTGGAAATAATATAGGCATTTTTCCTCAGTGAAAGATATTTCCCTACCAAGATTTTGCAGTTAGAGTGGTAATATTTTCCCTCAGGAGTATATTTATATTGTATCAAGTATGTATCTTATACTCTTCAGTTACTGAAAGAGAACAGAAACAAGCTTAGAAAGCAGAATCAGTTATGAGTAAATTTTCATAGAAAAATTGAAAAGGTGAAGGTTATGGACAACTGAAACAATACGAAAACAATGAAATATAACTGTGTAAGTTGCTGCTATGGCTACTTTTATAATCATGCTGTACTTTCTGTGATATTTTTTGTTCTCCATATTGCAGATGGATAAGTTATTTCAGCAGAACGCCTCTATCAAAAGTTACATTCATGTTTGGGATTGTACAATGTCCTAATGACAATGCAGCAGCTGTTCCTGGAAAAAAGCCAATATAAAATAAAAAAAAATGTGGAGAACCAGAGAAGCACAGATGTGGTGATAGAAGCAGGTTTCTCATATCCCACACCTACAACAGAATTTTAGCAGTAGCCCTCTCAAAACGCCTTAAAACACTGGACAGCTTCTATGACAGTTTTTCAGAGGTTATATTAACATTATTGCAGGCAGTTTTGTACTCAAGCTATTAGTTTTTAGTGTGTCTATTCAATGACAAATTGGCTCCTCAGTTATTAAACCTGAGAAGAGCTCTTCTAGCTGTTTAAGAAAATGCCCTAGTATGTCTACCGATAAGTTTAACAAATACATGATAGCATGCATATTCTATTTAAACATTCAAGACTAAATATTTATATAATTTATGAAGTTTTTATTGAATTTGGCATTTCTGTGACATCCCTTGAATTTAAGGGATTAAATGTCCAGAATTTTAACAGAGTACGTTTATCAAGATGAATGTAGATTCTGATAAAGACATTAAGCTAAAACCATTAATTTCTTGTGTATAGTAAGCAGAACAAAAGAGAACACCAAATATAGCATAATTACAGAAGGACTATCAGCAATATTATTAATTTAGGTAACAGGTCTACTGTTAATGTTTGGCATACAGTTTTAAAAGGCTCAGTCAAGTGAAAATCAACCTCTGCATTGTAAAAATAAAGGCATTTCTCCTTAACACATACACTCAGATATCATGGTGATGTATAATGATATACATTATAACTAATAATATATGTCAGAGTTGTATAATGGTGTCTTTCTTCTTTATCTTTCATTTGCTTAAACTTTCACCTTTTGGTTGATTTCTCTGCAAAAAAAAAAGATTTAATTTTTGAGCATCAGGAAAGTGGGAAAAGAAATGCTTTGTTATAAATTTTTGCAAGACATGGCTTAAATCATTTTTGCTTCTAAAATGTTTAAGGACTAGAGGTGGGAATTGGTATTGAATTCTGTTTGGTATTGAATTCAGGTTCTTTAACAGACTCATCACCATGATATCTGAGTATGCCAAATGTTCACAGTAGACCTGTTTTCTAAACTAATAATACATGCCATTAAGAAAGGAGTCATTACACTCACATGAGCAGCTGACTTTTCTGAAAAATGAAGCAATAAATATTGCTGTGAATTGATAGGAAAAGGAATTCTGAGCAGATGTCCAATGAGAGAACCCTCTTTGATGCACCTTAGGGTTAAGGAAGTTCACAAGTTTGCTAGGTAGTACATGATCACCTAATTAACACATACAGAATGGGTACAGTATATTACAAAGGGGATATAGGGACCATATTTGTAGGGACTATATTTAACTAAATTGGTCTCATGATGATGTGATTAATGGAGCACCACCAGACCTGTGTTTTCAAAATGACTCCATCGCATGAAGGAGACTTCAACATATGTGCCTTGCTATTTCTCTATAGCACTGCTTTAAAGTAATGCTATGGCTTGCACAAAAGAAAGTTAGAATGAGAAAGTTTTTTGGATTTGAGTTTTTTAGACTTTAGAAGCTTCAGTCCCATCAGGGAATATGCATATGCTTTTTTCTGACAAGCCCACTTCTCTGGTGATTGCCCTCCTAGTGGCATTGAGATTCAAATAGCCAAGAGATTTTTGGCAGCTGCTTGTTGTTCACAGATGGGATAATTTAAAAGTGCTCAGCTGGGTTACTCAAATGACTCCCCTTTTTCTTCCTCCTTACT